GGGCTTCCCTCTTCTGTGGGAGGGGGGAGTTGTCCCCAGAGGAGGCATGCTCTGGGGCTTCCCTCCTCTGCCAAGGGGAGGGAGGAAGAAGTCCTGGGAGGAGGTGGGTGTGGGGGACTCCCTGTCCCCTGCCCCCCGCAACAACCTGTCCCCTGTTCCCACTGGCACCCTGTGTCCTGCTGCAGAACCATGTCCCCTGCTCCTTGTTCCCCCCGGCACCCTGATCCCTCTACCCTGTCCCCCACTGGCACCCTGCCCCAACCACAGCACCCTGTCCCCTGCCCCAGCACCCACTAGCACCCTTCCCCAGGACCATGTCCCCTGCTCCCACCAGCACAGTTGGGGCCACATTAGTGAAGCTCGGGGTTTTTTTGGAGGAGTTATTTTTTTGCATCTCACTTGTGTGGCCCCCCAACTGACTTTTCTGTGGGTCAGTGACCCCCTGACTCAAAACAGGGTCCCTGTCCTTCCCATAAATAAAGACAATGTAGAAACTTTTTGTGTCTGGCATCGTATGTTATTTAAAAATGAAGCCTGGCCAACAGTCCCCCAATTGGGGCCAAGCCCCCATCTGGCCGCAGCATCATAACACTCCTGCACCATCACCCCCAGACCCTAGATCTGAGCCTATCATACACTGGACCCCCCTGCCCTGAGCCCCTCATATACCCCAACCCTCACATCCAGAAGCCTGTGGCTTGCTTAGGACCCCAACCCTCCATCTGATCTCAGCACTCCCCCTGCCTGGAGCCCCCTCCCTGAGACAGCGTCCCCTTCTCCACCTCCTCCTGCATCCAGATTCCCTCCCAGAGCGTGCACCTCTCACCCCTCCCCACACCCAAATCCCTCATTCCCACCCCAGAGCCCACACATCCTGTCTCAGCCCAGTGAAGGTACGGCTAGACTGCAGGAGTTTTTCCAGGATTCCAGAGAAATCCCGGAAAAATTCTTCCGCATCCAGGGATGCGTTTGTTCTTCCACTTTTTTTAGTGGAAGAGCAAACATGCTCTTTCAGTAACTCCTGTATTCCTTGTTCCACAAGGAATAAGGGGACTTCCGAAAGAAGGGGTTTTTCTGACATTTGGTCCAGTCTAGACAGGCCACATATTGGAAAAACCTCTTCCTGCATAAGAGTCAGCAAAAAGCAGCAGTGCAGAGTGTAAAAGGGCTGGGGATAGCAAGTGATGGAGAGGAGGAGAAGAGAGAGGGCGGGGCTTCAAGGAAGGGGCAGGACCTTGGGGCGAGGATGGGGTGGTAGATCTTGGCTTGTTCTGACATTTAACAAGTGATCTTGGGTGTAAAAAGGTTGGAGACCACTGGTCTAGGTTAAGCTGGGGAGGAGATGATTCAGCAGGCTGCATGTCCTCCATGCGTGAGCTGTAAGACTGGCTCAACCTATTTCTCCCCATTGTTCAATGAGCGAGTTGAAGAAAGTCTCCATAAGGAGTCGCTTTTGTATGTAAATTTACTCCAGAGGATGCTAGACTCTCTGTGGCTGGACTGTGCTTGGAAACCTCGTCTCCAGCAGACCAGGGACACCTGGAGCAAAGCCTCAGAGGTGCGGGACTCTGCCGCCGCTGCGGCTTTGCTCCCGGTGTCTCTGGTCTGCTGGAGACGGTCCCCAGCAGACCAGAGGCACCGGGAGCAAAGCCGCAGCGGCGCGGCACCCCGCCGCTGCTGCGGCTTTGCTCCCCGTGTCCCTGGTCTGCTGGGGGGAGGGCGCAGCTAGTGCGCCCCCCCCAGCAGACCAGGCTTTTGTTGTGGACCCTGGGGTAGAGCAGCTGGGGTGCTGCCGGGTTGGTCCTGCAGGGATCTTCCTGGCAGCCCAGCTGTTCTGTCCCAGGCTTGAGATTCAGCCGCTGTTGAAACTGATCAGTGGCTGATTCCAGGAAGCTGGGGGCAGAGCAATTCTGCCTCCAGCTTCCTGTAGTCAGCCCCTGGTCAGTTTCAGCAGCAGCGGCTGAATCTGGACGCCAGTTCCGACTTACATACAAATTCAACTTAAGAACAAACCTATAGTCCCTATCTTGTACGTAACCCGGGGACTGCCTGTAGTGGAAGAAAATTGGCACAACCATATATACCAAAGGATACAATCAAAAAAATGAACACACATGAAAAGGATATATGTCTGTTTTGTGTGCATTGAGTCCTTGGGGCAGTGTCTGAGACGTTTGTCCCATGTACATAGCAGACGGACACTTTAGGCACATGATAGCATAGATTATATTTCTGGATGAACAGGAATATGTGTTCTTGATCTTCTAAGTGGCATGGTTAGGACCTGACACCAGGGGTACCATTAGCACGGCCAGTGTGCCACGCCCACACTGTGCTGAATGCTTGAACCCAGTGAGCAGTGCTGGGGCATTGTTAATGACACCATTCCTGCCCACCCTGGCTAATAGGCATTGATGGACCTAACCTCCATGAATTTATCTAGCCCTTTTTTAACCCTGTTATAGTCTTGGCAACATCCTCTGGCAAGGAGTTCCAGAGGTTGACTGTGCACTGTGTGAAGTAATACTGCCTTTTGTTTGTTTTTAACCTGCTTACCTATTCATTTCATTCGGTGATCCCTAGTTCTTGTGTTATGTGAAGGAGTAAATAACGCTTCTTTATTCACTTTATCCCCAGCAGTCATGATTTTATAGACCTCAATCATAGTCCTTTCTTTTCCAAGCTGAAGAGTCCCAGTCTTATTTAGCTTTCCTAATATGGAACCCGTTCCAAACCCCTAATCATTTTTGTTGTACTTTTCTGAACTCTTTCCAATGCCAAGAGATCTTTTTTTTGAGATGAGGTGACCACATCTGCACGCAGTATTCTAGATGTGGGCATACCATGGTTTTATATAGAGGCAATAAGATGTTCGCTGTCTTATTTTAATGACTCCTAACATTCTGTGTGCTTTTTGACTGCCACTGCACATTGAGTGGCCATTTTCAGAGAAATATCCACAATGACGCCAAGATCTCTCCCTCAAGTGGTAACAGCTAATTTAGCCTCCGTCATATTATACCTACAGTAGGGATTCTATTTTCCAATGTGCATTACTTTGCATTTATCAACATTCAAATTCATCTGCCATTTTGATGCCCAGTCACCTAGTTTTGTGAGATTCTTTTAAAGCTCTTCACAGTCTGCTTTGGTTTGAACTATCTTGAGCATCTACAAATTTTGCCACCTCACTGTTTATCCCTTTCTCCAGATCATTTATTAATAAGTTGAATAAGACTGGTCCTAGCACAGACCCCTGGGGGACCCCGCTAGTTACCTCTCTCTATTCTGAAAACTGACCATTTATTCCTACCCTTTGTTTCCTGTCTTTTAACCAGTTCTCAGTCCATGAGAGGAGCTTCCCTCTGATCCCATGACAACTTACTTTACTTAAGAGCCTTTGGTGAGGGACCTTGTCAAAGGCTTTCTGCAAATCTAAGTACACGATATCCACTGCATCCCCCTTGTCCATGTTTGTTGACCTCCTCAAAGAACTCTAGTAGATTAGTAAGGCAGGATTTCCCTTTACAGAAACCATGTTGACTTTTCCCCACCTAATTATGTTCATCTGTGTGTCTGACAATTCTGTTCTTAATCTTTACTATAGTGTCAGCCAATTTACCCGCTACTGACGTTAGACTTACCAGCCTGAAATTGCCACGATCGCCTCTGAGCCCTTTTAAAATATTGGCTGGTTCCAAGCAGACACCCTGATGCCAGAGCAGAAGGAGGGACACAGGTAAAAAGACATGCCAGTCCAGGTGTAAAGTGCAGTGGGAGCCCTGCCAGAGTTAGCGCTGTTCTTTTGAAACACAGCTCCGGCCACACGGGGCTGTTCCGGGCTAGCTCATCTCAGGCTGGACTCAATCCGCTTGCAAAGTGGACTCGTCAGTTTGCCACAAGTGGCCAAATAATTAAACCCAAACGGAAAAGACAAATCGTGTCAGATGGGCACTGGCGGCGGGGGCGGGGGAGAGGGCGGGCAGTCGGCTCTTGGCGTTTGTCTGGCTGCTTGTGTTTCCAATGTGAATCCGATTCCCAAATCCCAGGGAATGGAATTTCATGGGCAGAGCTGTGAGGGTTTTGGAGACACGCCAGCCACGGGACGGGGGAAAGCTGGGAACACGTGGCGCTCTGGCATCTGGTTAACAGAGCCAGCGGGGCTCAACCGTGAACCAGCTGATGTTTCCATTGCGCCCTGCTAGCCCGGCTCTGCCCGTCCTCCCACGAGAATTTAACACGGGGACCCTGGGGATCTTCTAGGTAGACACCAGAATGGGGGAAGGAAGGGGCATGGGACTTCGCACGGAGCCACTGCCGGGGGCAGGAAGTGGGGGGCCTTGGGCGCACAGAACTACTGGCATATGGCGGAGCGGGAAGGATGGGCCCAGGGTCCTTACCATGGTGGGAAACAGGCAATGGAGGGCATGGGAGGGAAGGGGAATGAGCTGCTGGCATGGGGGGGATGGGAGTCCCTGAAATAGAGGGGGCTGGGAGGGTGGCAACAAAGAGCCTGGGGGGAAAAGGGGGATGGAGGGAGGCCAGATGTGGCGTGGAAACATCTAGCTCTCCAGCTAGCACATTTCTGAGGCACCCATTGCCGGGTACCGAGGCCCTAGCTGGTGGGGGCTGGCTGCCCCCCACTGCGACTGCTCAAACAGCCTCTCCCAGATCCGGAGAAAGGAGAAGGCTGGTTTTACGCAGCTGGCCCCTCACTAGCGTTTTCCACCTACACCTCCCAGCTCTGCGCGTCTGGCCTGGGGGCCCTTGGGTCGCACCCCAGGGCCCCTGCAGCCGGGGAATCCTTCCGGGTGTGCTTGCACTCCCTTCTCCCCTTCCATAATGACCTTCTCCGCCCTGCCGGCAGCCTCCAGCGAGTGTTCTCCTTCTCAGGCATTAATCTTTGCCATCTTGGGCTTGGATAATTGGATTTTGCAGGTCACATGGTGAGATAAAAAGTCCCCAATCCGCAGGGCAGAAATTAGGTTACCCATGGGGAATTAAGGTAGAGAGCAGAGAGACGGCTGGGGGCACAGGGAAGGGCTCCCATCCTGCCGCTGGCCAGCAGCCGTCCTGCGTGGAGCTCCAGAGCTGGGCTGCACGGGCACCAGGGGCAGTGGACTAGATACCCCTTTTTCTCTCTCTCTTCCCACCCCTAAAGGGTGAGTGAGCCAGGGGGAAGAGCTGGAAGAGACAGAGGAGCTAGAGGAGTTAGAGGAGCTAGAGGAGGAAGACGCCGAGATGGGGAGTGGAGCGAGCGCAGAGGATAAAGAATTGGCCAAAAGGTCCAAGGAGCTGGAGAAGAAACTCCAGGAAGATGCGGACCAGGAGGCCAAGACGGTCAAGCTGCTGCTGCTAGGTAAGCGGGAGAGCAGGTAACGGGAAGCCCTGGGCCCCTCCGGTGGATTGGGACAGGAGGGAGGAGGGTCTGTGCCACTCCGAGCTGGTCTCCACGCATGTCGGTGGAGAATGGCCCAACCAGGGATCCTGTGGGCTCAGGATCGTGCCGTGTAGGAGGGGACGGCTAGCCAGAGCCCACCCAGCTTCCAGGCTAAGCCGAGCCTGGGACAACGGCTCCCTCAGGCGCCGTAGCCACGGTGAGGCAAAAATAGAGGAGCGGGGGCAGGAGAGAGCACCTGGGGGTCTTGCGGCAGGGCTGGCGAACAGGGATTAGAAAATGCGGGTGGCCAAGGGCCGGGGGAGAGAGGCGAGGAAGCAGGACATGCAGCGAGGCCCGAGGCAGGAGGGATGCTCCAGCCCATGCTGGGCTCACAGGTGTGATCAGCCCTGGGGTTTTGTTGCGGCTCCGTTTTTTCCCAGCCGAGCGAAGCTCCGGTGCTAAGCAGCGCCAGATGGGCTCTCATTAGCTTGATGACTTCCTACCTGAAGCGATTAGCCAGGACCCAGATTTCTCCACCAGTCGGATGTGCCAAGAGGTCACAAACCCCGGCTCAGAGAAGCCGGGCTGAAGAGGGCAGCACCTCAGGAGGGATTAGAATCTATTTGTGGTTCCCAGGGAGGCTGGGGCGAAATCGGAGCGCGGTGGCTGGCAGCATCGCTCAGTAGCCACACGCCGAGGGATCCATCTGGAGACTCCAAGGCCGGCGGGGAAAAGGGAAGGGATTTGAGGGGAAGTTTCTGGCCAGAAATGCCAAGCCAAGACCTGGTGCGAGAGCCCGGCACAGAGTCAGGCACCTGGTCCTAGCCCCTGCCCTGCTGCAGCCGCATGGTTTGCAGCCCCACTAGAGACACGTGCCGAGACCCGGCCTAGAGACAGGCAGAGGTGATGGTGACTGGCTCTGCTATGGGCTTGTTAGCTGGGTGCCCCGCTGAGGGCCGAGAGCGCAGCTCTGGGCCGGTCTCTGCGGAGGCCAGGCAAGGCCACACGAGGTTTAGTCCTTCGCACGCCGCGATGGAGGCTCCAGCCCCTCTTCTCCTGCAGCGCCCCCTCTCCGTGCTCTGCCTGCTGCCCCGTCTGGCGCACAGCCACCAAACCGCACGTGTGTGGGCGTGTAAAGTCAGCCGGGGGCGCCTGCTTGGGCACAGCACAGGGGCAGCGGGGGCCAAGGGCTCTTCCGCAGGGCAGTGGGGGGAGGAGGGCTATAAAGGAACTGCCCGCCGGCGTCCGGCCCGGCTCCAGAGGCTGAGGAAAGCTGGCGCCTGACAGCGCAGCGCTGAGCGTGGGGCTGGACCCCTGGCTGGAAAGCCAGCCTCCCCGGCTCCTGGGAGCGAGCGAGGAGAGCCCGGCAGGGCCCTTCCCCCCCTTGCCCCATCACAGGCCTGGGGAGGGGCCCCGGCGCTCCGGGTTCCACTCGCTGCCTCTGAGCGGCCCACAAGGTTTATCCAGGTGCCGGCGAGGAGGCCGGGATCAGCGTGATTAGGCCTAATTCTAAGCAGCTTCCTGGCTGGAATAAGCTGCTTAACCTGCCCGGCGCTGGCTGCCCCGCCCCGCCCCACCCTGCCCCGCTGGCGGGGGGAGAGCCCAGGGCTGGGCTGGGTGTGCCCAAGGGCTGAGGACCCCAGCTCCAGTCCCACCGACACCCTCCTCGCCAGCGTGCTGGGGCGCAGTGGGATGGGCCTGGCCCGCTGGGTTGGGGGCCCCCGCTGGGGGGCTGATGGCACGACCGCACGGCTCTCGAGCCCCCATCCTCCCCCTTGAGCACTGCCCAGGGGCTGAGGGGTCAGTCGAGTCGGGCGCGGCCGGCTCAGTGGAGGGGTCGTGGAAGGCGGCAGAAGCTGCAGGGTGCGTGCTGGGGGTGTCGCCTAGGGGAGGCGAAAGACCGGAATCCCTGGCCACAGGGCAGGGGGGTTGGCGGGGCGGGAGAGTTAGAGCAGCCATGCGAGATACCCGTAGTGACCTCAACAGCTCACCTGGCCCATCCTCCCGCGCCGAGCAGGCCCAGCCCCACGGGGGGAACCTGTTCCCAAAGCCCCCACAGGTCCCATGCGCCTCCTGCGCTGCCTGCTCCAGCTCCAAACTCACCTTAACACAAGAACGGCCGTGCTGGGTCAGACCAAAGGTCCTTCTAGCCCAGTATCCTGTCTGCTGACAGTGGCCAGCACCAGGGGCCCCAGAGGGGGTGGACCGAAGACAATGATCAAGCGATTTGTCTCCTGCCATCCCTCTCCAGCCTCTGACAAACAGAGGCCAAGGACACCATTTTATCCCCTGGCTAATAGCCTTTTATGGACCTAACCTCCATGAAATTATCTAGCTTCTCTTTAAACTCTATTATAGTCCTAGCCTTCACAGCCTCCTCTGGCAAGGAGTTCCACAGGTTGACTACACGCTGTGTGAAGAAGAACTTTCTTTTATTAGTTTTAAACCTGCTACCCATTAATTTCATTTGGTGTCCTCTAGTTCTTCTATTATGGGAACTAATAAATAACTTTTCTTTATCGGCCCTCTCCACACCACTCATGATTTTATAGACCTCTATCATATCCCCCCTCAGTCTCCTCTTTTCTAAACTGAAAAGTCCCAGTTGCTTTAACATCTCCTCATATGGGACATGTTCCAAACCCCTAATCATTTTAGTTGCCCTTTTCTGAACCCTTTCCAAGGCCAAAATATCTTTTTTGAGGTGAGGAGACCACATCTGTACACAGTATTCAAGATGTGGGCGTACCATAGTTTTATACAGGGGCAGTAAGATATTCTGGGTCTTATTTTCTATCCCTTTCTTAATAATTCCTAGCATCCTATTTGCCTTTTTGACCACCGCTGCACTCTGTGTGGAAGTTTTCAGAGAACTGTCCACGATAACTCCAAGATCTCTTTCCTGATTTGTCGTAGCCAAATTAGCCCCCGTCATACTGTACGTATAGTTGGGGTTATTTTTCCCGATGTGCATTACTTTACACTTATCCACATGAAATTTCATTTGCCATTTTGTTCAGTTTGGTGAGATCTTCTTGGAGTCCCTCCCAGTCTGCTTCTGCCTTGACTGTCCTAAACAGTTTGGGATCATCCGCAAACTTTACCACCTCACTGCTTACCCCTTTCTCCAGATCATTCAGAGAAATGCCTAAAAATCCACCCGCAGCCTCCTGGCTCCAAACGGAGCCTCCTCCTACCTCGCTGGCCTGGGAGAGCAGCAGGGCGCTGGCCCCTCGGTCACAGGCCATCGCGTGCCGTCAGTCTGCCCGTCTCCAGACTGCACATGCCCGGTGCCTTCCAGCAGGGCACCAGACGGCTTGAGCCCAGGGCAGAGGGTCAGGTTTGGGCCCCGTTTCCTGGTCTTTGTGAGCTGGCGAGGAGTCGGGGTGCGTCCGGCGGGAGTCTCCATGGGACGGCGCTCGTGGCACTGAACAGAGGAGGCTGGGGACATGCAGCCCCCCATCCCAGAGCTGAGCTTGCATTGCTTACAGGCCAGGGGAGCCCAATGCCTCTGGACAGCTGGGGAAGGGGAGAGGCTGGGTGGTTACGTAAGCGCAGGCTGAAGCCCTGGGCTCTAGACGCTCCCGCAAAACAAGGCCATTGACAGGGCTTGGGACGCAATCCGCTTTGGGAACCCAGGGTGGTAATATGCGAGTATCCCCCCCTGCCCCGAGAAATCCCCTGCGGATCTGGGCTCACCCAGAGCGAAGCGCCAGGGGCGGGGAGCAAAGAGCAGGCGGGTGCACACTGCTCGCTGCGTCGCCAGGTCCTTCCGCAGGGCGACGCTACAGAGCTTGGGCCCCTCTAGGCGCCAGCGTCTCTGGCGGGCTCTGCTCCAGGTGCCGGGGAGTCAGGCAAGAGCACAATCGTCAAACAGATGAAGTGAGTACAGCGGGAGGGCCGAGGGGGGGCTGCCCAGAACACAGGCCCGGGCCTAATCTAAGCACGACTAGCGTGATCTGCGCTGTGGGGCCGGGCTGCCTTCCAGCCCGACGGCAGCAAGATTGCTCACAATGCGTTAAAGAGTCCAACCAAAGCAGCACCTGCTGGAGGAACAGGGGCCCTGGTCTGCCTCCAGGCACGAGCTGATGGGTGCGGGGTCCCTTCCTGCGCCAGCCCAGCACTGACGGGGGCGTTTCTCGTCCTGCTCGGCCCGCGCTAGGACAAGATCAGCCTGACGGCAGAGCCAGGAGCAGTGCCCAGGCGGGCTGCTGGCCCCAGAGGTGCTGGCCCTCCTGCTGGGAACGAGCCACGGGCCTCCACCCTGGTCCCTGGGCTGGCTCCATGGAGACCCAGGAGGGAGTTTTCTCTTTGCATCGGGGCTTGCGTGCAACCACGATGGGCCCAGTTACCAGCCGGGCCGCATGCCAGCCTGGGCAGAAAGCGGCGAGGAGCCCAGCTCTCCCTGCCTGGTGCCAGACACGGCCAGCGCACGCCCCCCGTACTGGGCCGTTCTTCTCTCCCGCACCCACCCCAGCCAGCATGCCCGGGCCAGCGCCAGGGGAAAGGCAGCTATGCCAGGAAAACACTGAGTGTTTGAGTGCTGGAGGAAGCAGGGGCCAACCTGCCCCATCTCCGTCCCTCTCCTGCCTCTCCTCTGGCGCCAGTGTCTGCATGCGGGGGAGGGTACTGCTAGGGAACGCTGGGATTCCTGCTAAGCGCCCTGCTCTGGTCCCCCCGCCCTGCAGGATCATCCACCAAGACGGCTACACACAAGAAGAGTGCCTGGAGTTTAAGTCGATCATCTACGGCAACGTGCTGCAGTCTATCCTGGCCATCATCCGCGCCATGTCCACGCTGGGGATCGACTTCGCCGAGCCAGGGCGGTCGGTCAGTACGCGCCTGCACCTGGGAACTGGACAGGGGAGGGCGTGGGGGGCTGGTGCAGGATCATCCACCAAGACGGCTACACACAAGAAGAGTGCCTGGAGTTTAAGTCGATCATCTACGGCAACGTGCTGCAGTCTATCCTGGCCATCATCCGCGCCATGTCCACGCTGGGGATCGACTTCGCCGAGCCAGGGCGGTCGGTCAGTACGCGCCTGCACCTGGGAACTGGACAGGGGAGGGCGTGGGGGGCTGGTCCCCACGTGCTCATCTCTTCGGGCACGTCGCGAGTCCCATGGATCTGCAGAGGCGGGCGCCTGAGATGCAGGATGCTCGGGTTGGAGAAGCTTCCCTGGGGCTAGAAGGGGGCACGCGCCTCACTCCAGCTAGCAGAACGGCAGTGCCGGTGGTGG